ACCTAGGATTTAAAGCACCTCTGTATTTCGAGTGTCTCCCAATTCATTTTCCGGTACCAACACATACACTCATTTGATTTTGAAGAATCATATCTTTCCAGGATTCCCCTTATCTCGAACACCAATTTAAAAGAATTATCTGGTGTCCCTCTCCAGTTTCATATTCCAAAATAAAGTGACTTTATACCTCCGCAATCGTCTTTATCTTTTAACCGATGAATGCATGCCAGCTAATGACTTATGGGACATTTCCATGTAATGACAACAGCCCCACTCCATCGGTTTACCTCGTCTATATCAGTTCAGGGAAGTCTAATGAAAGACAATCAATGTAACCAATATTGACTAGAGAATCACTGACCTTACCCCACTACCATTGTCCAAACTCTTTTAACTTGTCTATATCAGTTTAAGGGTTTAATAAGGATTATTTTTACACCTAAAGAGAAAACATATTTGTGATTTTGAAGCTAGCAATCTTCATTAAAGCATGCAAGAGATCACAAATTAGGCTGTTTCTTTATGCAAAAAAAGGTATACTTAATGGAAACATAGCTGAGTTCTCCATGAAAGATACTTAATCGATTTTCTTCCTCTTCTGATCACTGATAGTGATAGTGATATATATAGAAGAGAGAGGGAGATCCGTTTAATTAGGATATTGGATTCGAACACCGTAGAATGTGGGAGGCGAGAAGGTGGTGGTGTTGTGTGGCTCTAGCACTAATAGCAGCCAATGTGGGAGGTTCTGTGGAGGGTAGGGCTCATCGGATTCTGGTGGATACAGATGTTGGCACCGACGATTTATTTGCTCTTCTCTATCTCTTGAAGCTCAACACATCACAATTCAAATTGGAGGTAACAAATGCAGATCCACCATTTTCATTTTCACCCTCACCTCTTCATTTTTAAAACCATTAATTACTTCAAACCTAAATACTAGCTACCAAAATTAATTTTTCTTTTTCTTTTTAAATAAATACTAGTAAAAGATATGAGTATTTGTTTCCATGTCAACACCTACCCACTTCTCACCAACAAATTTTGAATTTTGACTTAAATCAATTTTCACTTTATTTTAAATAAATTCTTATACCTTTTTTCTTTGGGGTAAACAACAGTTGTTTATATTGCTTTTAAATATTTTAATAGTTTTTATTTATTAAAAAAAAAAAATTTATTCTCAAATTAACTTTTTTTCTTAATTTACGATTGCATCGTTCTCAAATTTTAATCCTCTTGACTTAGTCGGTTTCAGTTTATTTATTCTAAGTGAAGTCTTATACTTTGTTTTCGCAAATATAAGATGTTTATTTTTTTTTTCCCCACAAGTTCTTAAATTCAAATTCAAATCCAAATCTTATTAGTCATCTTAAAGGTTGTTTATATTTTTCTTAAATTATTTCAACCCTTTATATTTATTTTGAGTTTCCGTTCAAAATTTATTTTTATTTATTCGCAAATTAATCTTTTGACTTAATTTATGATCGCAACATTCTCAACTTATACTCCTCTGGTTCTCTCTTCTTCTTCTTCTTTTTTTTAATAAAATTTAAATTAAAAGTGTTTTTCTTTTACTTTTTTTATTTTAAAATTTTAATTATATGAATCGACCGAAAATGATAAATAACTATCTATTAGCGTTCATGTATTAATTCTTTTAAAGGTATTAGCTCCGCCCCACCAGTCCCCGTCAGTCACGCGCAAGTCCCCGTCAGTCACGCGCAAGTCTCCTGATGGAACTAGGTTGAAGAGGATTGATGTTCTTCAACAATTCCAACGTCCAAGACCTTTGCTCAATGAGGTTGTACACTTCAAATCAGCGGAAGCTCCTTGAAGAAATCTCCAATGGAGGAGAAGCACCTTTGAGGAGGTTCGGTTACCTCTTAGAGAGGTGAAGAAACTTGAGGAACCAAGCTTCTAGGAGAAGGAACTTTGAGAGAAAACCTAGGAGAAGGTTTCTCACGAATTTGACTCTTGAAAATGAGAGAGAAATCTGATTTCTAATTCTCATAAATGTCCAAAAGTGATTACAAGAGAGGGATTTACAAATATATAGGGTAAGGTAGCTTCTAGGAGAAGTTAACCTTAACCATGGTTCACTAGGAACCATGGTAAGGTGTAGCTAACCATCCATGGTTTCTAAAACTTGTAGGAGAAGCTAACATTGACCATGGTTCACTTAAGAACCATGGTAAAGTCAGCCCAACCTACCAAGGTTTAGAAACTTGGAAGAGAAGCTTCAAAAACTAAGAAGAGAGCTTACAAATTTCGGCCAAAGAGAAAGCACATTAGCTAGGTGGCCAAGGCTCCAATTTATCCTTTGAATTATTTCAAAAA